TTCCTTTTTGTCACTCAGGCTGAGTGCCAGTGCATGATCTTGGCTCACGGCAGCCTTGACTTCCTGGCTCAAGCACAGTCCTGCCCTTCAGCCCCTGAAGTAACTCGGCTGGGGGACGCAGGCCTGCCCAGGCTAAATTTTTTTTGTGTTGTTTTGTTAGAGCGATGGGGTTTTGCCGGTTGCCCAGGCTGCGTCTCGAACTCCCTGAGCCTCAAGTGATCTGCCTGTCTGGGCCTCCCAAAGTGCCAGGATTTACAGGTTTGAAACCACCATACCCAGCCTTCTCATTATAGTTCTAAGAACATTAATTATAGTTTGTTTGTCTTTGTTTAAATGTCTGTTTCTTGTATTGTCTTTCTTCTCTCTGAGTTACTTTTTTACCCGTTTGTTTAGTTCAAAAGAAAAAACGCAAAAGTTTGATTAGGTTTTTTTAAAAAATTTGTTTTAATGATTTAACTTTTTCAAAATTATGAAATATTTCAAAAATTTAGAAAGTATAATGAATAAAATGAATATTTATGTATGTAACACCAAATGTACATATTTTACCACGGTAGAGACTTGGTTTTTTTTAAAGGTTACATATGTCAGATATATCTGAAGTCTCTAGTCCAGTCTCCTCAATCTTCCCCAAAGATAAACACTCTTCGGAATTTGGTGATTATTATTCTCTGGCATGTTGTGATACTTTTATTATGTGTTTGTGTGTTTTATTTAAGTAATACGTGTAGTTTTACATGTTTTTATTTTTATTTTTATTTTTTTTGAGATGGAGACTCGCTCTGTTACCCAGGCTGGAGTGCCATGGCTCTATCTCGGCTCACTGCAGCCTCTGCCCCCTGGGTTCAATGACTCTCCCGCCTTAGCCTCCTGAGTAGCTGGGATTACAAGTGTGGGCCACGTCACTCGGCTAAAAAAAAAAAGTTTTCTTTAATTTCTAGTTTGCTAAGAGGTTTTTGGTATTGGTTTTTAAATGATGAATATATGCTGAATTTTGCCAAATGTCTTTTCTGCATCTATTGATCTTTCTTTTTATTTATTTTTTTACATTTTCTGATGCTAAACTATTTTTGCATTTCTGGGATAATTCCAATTTCATGATGATGTTCCTTCTGGGTCTTTTTATCTTTTTTTTTTGAGATGGAGTCTCGCTCTGTCGCCCAGGCTGGAGTACAGTAGCGCGATCTCAGCTCACCGCAACCTCCACCTCCCAGGTTCACGCCAGTCTCCTGCCTTAGCCTCCCGAGTAGCTGGGACTACAGGCACGTGCCACCACGCCTGGCTAATTTTTGTATTTTTATTAGAGACAGGGTTTCACCATGTTGGCCAGGCTGGTCTGAAACTCCGGACCTCAAGTGATCTGCCCACCTCAGCCTCCCAAAGTGCTAAGATTACAGGTGTTAGCCATCACACCCAGCCAAATGTTCACATTTTCGAGATGAGTAAACCAGGTTCAGGAAAGTTAAGTGACTTGCCCGTGGTCACATAACTAGTTTGAGAAAGAGCTGGAAATATATAATCCAGGTTTCCTAACGCCTAGTCGCTGTTCTTCATGATGTTCTCCTAAGTGGAGTGTTAAAAAAACTGCTGTTTAGGCCGGGCACAAGGGCTCACACCTGTAATTCCAGCACTTTGAGGGGCTGAGGTAGGAGGATCACTTGAGTCCAGGAGTTCAAGACCAGTCTGGGCAACAATGTGAGATCCCCCCATCTCACAAAAATTTAAAAAACAAACAAACAAACAAAAGGCTGGTCATGGTGGCACGTGCCTGTAGTCCCCGCCACTCAGGAGGCTGAGGAAGGAGGGTGCTTCGAGGCTGCAGTGAGTCATGTTTGTGCCACTGCGCTCCTGCCTGGGTGACAGAGTGAGACCCTGTCTCAAAATAATGATAATAATAATAAAATAAAAATTAAAAACTGCTATTCAATGATTTGACATAGTTGGCAATAATTATAGTTACTATTTTCCATAACAAAGAACTCAAGGGAGAGGGAGAGAGAGAAGAGCCAGTTTTAGCTGGCATGGTAAGGAAGTCCCCTCTGCTTTAATCTTTCCAAGAAAACTAATTTTGTGGCCGGGCGCAGTGGCTCACGCCTGTGATCCCAGCACTTTGGGAGATTGAGGCGGGAGGATCACCTGAGGTCGGGAGTTGGAGACCAGCCTGGCCAACATGGTGAAACCCTGTCTCTACTAAAACTACAAAATTAGCTGGGCCTGGTGGCACGTGCCTGTAATCCCAGCTACTTGGGAGGCTGAGGCGGGAGAATCGCTTGGATCCAGGAGGCGGAGGTTGCAGTGAGCTGGGATCGTGCCACTGCACTCTAGTCTGGGCAATAGAATGAGACTCTGTCTCCAAAAACAAAGAAAAGTAACTTTGTGATTTTTTAAAATTGTTAATTAATTAATTAATTAGAGACAGGGTCTCACTCTGTCACTCAGGCTGGAATGCAGTGGCATGATCATAACTCACTGTAACTTCTACCTCCCCGGCTTGAGTGGTCCTCCCCTGCCTCAGCCTCCTAAGTAGCTAGGACTAAAGCACGCCACCGTGCCCAGCTAATTTTTTTCATTTTTGTGGAGATGAGGTATCGCTATGTTGCCCAGACTGGTCTTGAACTCCTAGCTTCAAGCGCTCCTCCCACTTCAGCCTCGCAAAGTGCTGGGATCACAGGTGTGAGCCACCACCTGCAGCCAGGAAAGTAACTTCGACAAGACCATTCACGTTATGTTCTCTTTCTGCTTTCTTCAGCCCTTTTCTGCCTGTAAAGCCAACCTCCTCTGCCCAGGTCGTCAGAACAGTACTTCTACTTCATAGAATGAGGTGTTGCCTGATTTAGAACTGCAAATAAAAGCCAATTAGGATATTTAGATTTGTTGCAATTTTGTCTTTTGACAGTAGTATGTTACAATACAGTAATTATTAATTCAATGCAATAAGACAATAATACATAAAGATAAGTAGAGCAAGGAAAGCATACACAAACTTCCTACAAATTCCCGTTTTAAATTCATAAAGTGTTGCAGTTTTTCTGTTGTTGTTGTTTTGCTTTTTCAGTTTTTTTTTTTTTTTTGAGATAGGGCCTCACTGTCACCCCTGCTGGAGTGCAGTGGCACAATCACAGCTCACTGCAGCCTCAATTTCCCAGGCTCGCGTGATCCTCCCACCTCAGCCTCCAGAGTAGCTGGGACCACAGGTGCGCACCACCACGCCCAGCTAATTTTTTTGATTTTTAGTAGAGATGAGATTTCATATGTTACCCAGGCTGGTTTCAAACTCCTGGGCTCACGCAATTCTCCTGTAGCGGGACAAGCCACAGACAAAACTCCTCAGACACCGAATTAAAGAAGGAAGAGGTTTTTTATTCGGTTGGGAGCATCAGCAGACTCGTGTCTTAAGAGCCGAGCTCCCCGAAAAAGAAATTCTTGACCTTTTTAAAGGCTTACAACTTTAAGGGGTCCACATGAAAGGGTCGTGATAAATCAAGCAAGCGTGGGAAACGTGACTGGGGGCTACATGCATCAGCTAACAGAACAAAAAGTTTTACAATGCTTTTTTCATACAGTGTCTGGAATTTACAGACAACACGAGTAGTTTAGCTCAGGGATTGATGTTACTATTATTACTTTTTTTAACTCCTAGGGTTGGGTGGTGGTGCCAAGGTTGTCTGGCTTTTTATCTTTTGTTTCTTTCTAGCGTTTTGCTTTTTTTAATCTTTTGTTTCTTTTGTTTAATCTTTTGTTTCTAGCGTTTTGTTTTTTTCTAGCGTTTTCTCTCCTCCTGTCTTGTGAACTAGGCATGGTCGGGGGAGGAGGGCAGCAGGAGTAGTAGTGGTCTCCTTCCTTACTCCCACCTTGGCCTCCCAAACTCACAGGCGTGAGCTGCCACGCCTGGCCTGTTGTAGTTTTTATGTCTTTGATATTCTGATTTCCACTTTGATTCTGGATAACTGGTGGAGATGTACATTTTGTGAGTATACCCTGGGTTTCATATGGAATATAAATCTAAAACTAATCCCTTACAAATAATTGCGACTGGTATTTTGGGTTTTTCAGGAAAAGATACGAGCCACACACTGAGAATGAAAAGCACATGAACCGGGCAATTTATAAGCAGGATGCCTTTCTGTCTGATGCAGATCTGGGCCAGATTGACTTTAGCGAGATCTTACCCTTGGTTAGGGTCTAATACCGAAGTCAGCAAACTTTTTCTGTAAAGGGACAAATAGTAAACATCTGGCTTTGCAGGGCATAAGTTCTCTTTGGCAATGACTCAGCTCTGCACTGTGGCATGAAAGCAGTCACAGACAACGTATAAACAAATGGGCAATGCCATATTCCAGTAAAACTTTTCAAAAACAGACTTCAGACTGGATACAGCTAGTGGCCCTGGGTAACTGCAGTAAACTCTCATTTACCAAAAGTTCTCAATATAATGTTACACCCTGTTAACAGGCTTCTTTGTCACTGAGGCAGCTGACGATAAAACATTATGAGACAATGGGAATTTAGACTGCCTTTAAGAAACCCTCAGGATTAAAACACAGTTTGGAATTTGGCTATATAGAATAATAAAAAATAGCTATAAAGTAGCTATTAATGGATAAAGCATCACAATAGCTACCAATTTGTGCCAGGCACTAGGCTAAAGCCTTATTTCTAACCCTTACACTAACGTTGCAAGGTTGCTATCATTGTCACTTTTTTTTTTCGAGATGGAGTCTTGCTCTGTTGCCCTGGCTGGAGTGTAGTGGTGCCATCTCGGCTCACTGTAACCTCCGCCTCCCAGGTTCAAGCACTTCTCCTACCTCAGCCTCCTGAGTAGCTGGGATTACAGGCATGCACCACCACACCTGGCTAATTTTTGTATTTTTAGTAGAGACTGGGTTTCACCTTGTTGGCCAGGTTGGTCTCGAACTCCTGACCTCGTGATCTGCCCGCCTCGGCCTCCCAAAGTGCTGGGATTACAGGTGTGAGCCCTGGCACCCGGCCCATTCTCATTTTTAGTAATTGAAAACAGCCAGCGTGCCTGCATTTTTTAGTAATTGAAAATAGCCAGTGCGCCTGCATTTTTTAGTAATTGAAAATAGCCAGCGCGCCTGTCGTCCCAGCCCTGGGAGAGGATCACTGGAAGCCAGACGCTTGAGGGCAGCATGCTCTATGATATCTCTGTCAGTAGCCACTAGCTTCCAGCCTGGGCTACAGAGTGACCTCGTCTCTAAAAAATAAACAGTCTGCAGGTATACGTCTGAAGCAAAAAAAAAAAGAAAAAAGAAAAAAATTTTAAAAATAAATAAAATAAAAATTGGAAACAAAGACAAACGGCCGGGCACAGTGGCTCACGCCTGTAATCCCAGCACTTTGGGAGGCAGAGGCAGGTGGATCATCTGAGGTCAGGAGTTCAAGAGTAGCCTGGGCAACATGGTGAAACCTGGGGTTTTGCTAAATAATACAAAAATTAGCTGGGCGTGGTGGCATGCACCTGTAATCCCAGCTCTTCAGGAGGCTGAGGCAGGAGAATTGCTTGAACCCAGGAGGTGGAGGCTGCACTGAGCCGAGATCACGCCACTGCACTCCAGCTGGGCGACAAGAGCAAAACTCCGTCTCAAAAAAAAAGAAACAAAAAAGAAAAGACTTAATAACTTATGCAATATCATATAGCCGCCTTGCTTTCTATTCATATCACCCTGCCTCTAGGCAGTCTTGAGCTAATTTTATTCTCAGCAGTCATTTTGCATACACAGTAGTGACTAACCCGTAGAAGAGAGCAGTCAGCCACCCGGGCACCCATTCTCTCATCTATGTATAAATACGTAAGTCCACTGCTAAATGTCTTCCCTCCTTACCTATCAATCTGAATTTTCTTCAGTGTCTCCGTAGTCATGATGGTCTGCCTTACAGGTTTTTTGAAGAGAAGATCCTGTGTCTTGCGAAACTCCACAGCGAACTGGCCTCCTTGTCTGATTTCTGGCAAGCTGGGTCTTTCCTTGGTTATTAACGGACTGGGTATTTTTGTAACTGTTGAAGCCACTGGAAGTTTGTCTAGATTCTTTCCTTCTAGATTCATTTCTCTGCTTTTCTTTTAAAACAATAAACAGTATTAGAAATAATTTTGTTAAACAGACAACCACAAGAAAGAGGCCTTTGTCTACATTTTTCAACGTTATCTTCTCTGACTTCTACCCTATCCTCCAAGAAAATGTGCCCCTTTCTTCAGCCACACCAAACCACGCCCTGCTGCTAACTTCACACAACATTCCCCCTGTCATTCCCCAACTTACCACCTGCTACACTCTGCTCAAAAGTAAAGTTCTTTGTGAAATATCTCTGTTAGCAGGCATTTCTCATATGGTAATTTTTTATAAAGTATCTCCATCAGGTCGTGGTTTCTAGGAGGGAGGGGACAGTGTCTTAGCGATCTTGGTTCCCCTTCAAAAAAAACTTTTTTTGAAGACTAGTCTCAAGTTATTTTTGGAACAAGATTGGATATTCAATAAATGTGGCCATCTTTACAGTTCCATTGCTTAGAACAATGACTAGCATATAGCAGAGACGCAAATGTTCATTGAACATATGAACATGAAAAATAAATTAAAAAAGGAGAATCACACTAAAAGCAGAGGTTGATAGTACATTTAGTGGCGTGGTGTAGATTTTGAGGATCGTGGAGGGAAAAGCCAAAATCATTTCTTTTTCAGACCCAAACTTGAATATTAGGGACCACAGGAACAGCATATGCCTTTCAGTTGATGATGCCTGTGTAAATTAAACTGTGGCTAAACGCCTGAGCCACTGAGAGGCCACACAATGCAGTGACTACACATGTGGGTTCTGAAAGCGTGTTTGAGTCCAGCTCCATCTCTCAACTGTATTGACCTTGGGCAACTATTTAACATCTCTGTGTCCCCATATCCCGCTGGTAAAATAAACGGTTATTATTTTAAATTCTGTCTAAGGCAATAAGGGGAAAATGTAAGGTCTAGGAGGCCCCATTGTCTTTTTTCTTTTTTCTTTTGGGACGGAGTCTCGCTGTCACCCAGGCTGGAGCGTAGTGGCACGATCTCGTGTCACTGTGACCTCTGGGATGTCCCATTTTCTGAGTTCCCTAACCACTATTCCTCTACCTTTATACTTGGACATCTGGAAAAGGACGCAAATGTGTCACATGGCCTGACTTACCTATTACTAGAAAGAAATGTGAATTTTTAGAATAAAATTAAAGAAATGAGCTAAGTGTTCTGGTTGACTCACTAAAAAAAATTTTTCTTGAGATGGAGTCTCACTCTGTTGCTCAGGCTGGATTACAGTGGCACAATCTCCACTCACTGCAACCTCTGCCTCCCTGGTTCAAGCAATTCTCCTGCCTCAGCCTCCTGAGTAGCTGGGATTACAGGCGAGCACCATCATGCACAGCTAATTTTTTTGTATTTTTAGTAGAGACAGGGTTTCGCCATTTTGGCCAGGCTGGTCTCAAACTCCTGACCTCAGGTGATCCACCTGCCTCGGCCTCCCAAAGCGCTGAGATTACAGGCGTGAGCCACCGTGCCTGGCCTCTAAAAATTTATATATATATAATTTATATATTTTATATTGCACACACTATGTACAAGACAGGGTTTTTTATTGTAAAGAAAAAGAGAAGAAAAACAGTATTCCCTGCAAGAAAGTTCTTTCCAAACTTTGGTCAAATCACTATCATTTATGGTAGAACCAGGTAATTAATATATGTTTCATCCTTTCATTTCATAATTCTAATACAGGAAAATGTACCTGGAGATGGCCTTAGCTGTAAAAACGGCTTTAAAAGAGGGATAATGCTAACCTTTCCTTTCAAGGTTGTTAAGAGGCTAAAGGATGTCAAGCCTTTGGGAAAGAAAACATCTATATACATACTAACATTTAAAAATATATAGCCTAGGCCCTATGGGGCAGCGGCATCCTCAAATTCATGAGTCAGAACACCTATAGTACCATGAAATAAAAACCAAAAAATATTTTAAGAGATTCACAATTTTTAAAAGATATGAAACTAACATATTGAGAAATGGGCTTTTAAATTGCTATTAATCAACATGATTATGGTAAAGTTACCATAATTATACATACTAAATATTACTATTTACACTACAGTAAAATCCCAAGGGGGGTTTCTGTTGAGTCAGAAAATTCTGTGGGTAAAAGGTCACTATAGTAAACCAGAAAAAAGCAGTGCAAAAGTTTCATTCTTTTATTTACTGGAGAAGTGACTGCTGCCGAATACTGTCGATTAATTCAGCGTTTTCATTCTTGAGATTCCATGATGGCAAATTACTCTTTTCAAAGGCTGACAGCAGGTAGCATTGAAAAGACTTCATTTATTAACTGAATGTCTTCCCATTTGTTTGTCCTTCCTTCCTTCCTTCCTTTCCTTCCTTCCTTCCCTTTCTCCCTCCCTCCTTCCTTCCCTTCCTCCCTCCTTCCTTCCTTCCGATCCCTTCTGCTTCCTTACATACCCTTTTCTCTCCTCCCTCCCTCCCTCCCTCCCTCTTTCTTTCTCTTTCAACAAGGTCTCACTCTATCATCCAGGTTGGCATGCAGTGATATGACCTTGGCTTACTGCAGCCTCAGTCTCATGGGCTCAAATGATCGTCCCATATCAGCCTCCTGAGTAGCTGGGACTACAGGTGTATGCCACCATGCCTGGCTAATTTTTGTATTTTCTTGGTAGAGATGGGGTCTTCTCTGCTGCCCAGACTGGTCTCAAACTCCTGGCCTCAAGCATTTCTCCCACCTTGGCCTCCCAAAGCACCCATTTTATTTTTGATTCTTGTTGAAGGAGATAATAAATAGGAAGAACACACCAGTCTCTTGTGTTCTATTTGTTAGCCATCTTAAATTGTAAAGATTAGACTCTTATTTTAAATGCAATGGAAGATTTTGTTCTTAGATTCTTATCTGTTTGCCCTTCATAAGTTAACAAGGAAGTTAACTTACATTATACAATTCCTGTGATATTTATATTATTTTAAAACTACCCCAAAACTCATAGAAGGCTGGCACTACAAGGGATCTATGGGTCATTTAGGTAAAACTCCATTACAACTTACAAATGAGAAAACTTAGACCAAAAAAGTGAAGTGACTGCTAACAGCACAAAACTATATCCCAGACGCCTCCTGACTCCAAAGCCATTGCTCTATAAAATCTTATCTAAACTTTTTAAACTTTAATGAAAGCTTTAAGAACCCAGACTGTATGTGTAACAATAATAATTTTAAAAATTTGAAATTTTAATGGAAAAGTAAAGGGAAATGTAATTTTCTTCTCTCGATAAATATAGACTTCTTTACTGTTAGACATGAAAATCAAAAACAAAACAAAACAAAACAAAACAAAACAAAAAGAAAAGCATTTTACCCTCTCATTTATATAGCAATTTTCATTGGTCATAGAATCAGACATAAGAATATCTTCTGGGCTGGGCGCGGGGGCTCACGCCTGTAATCTCTCAGCACTTTGGGAGGCCGAGGCGGGCAGATCACTTGAGGTTGGGAGTTCAAGACCAGCCTGACCAACATGGAGAAACCCCATCTCTACTAAAAATACAAAATTAGCTGGGCCTGGTGGCGCATGCCGGTAATCCCAGCTACTCAGGAGGCTGAGGCAGGAGAATCGCTTGAACCCAGGAGGCGGAGGTTGCCGTGAGCCGAGACACTCCAGCCTGGGCAAGAAGAGCGAAACTCTGTCTCAAAAAAATAAAAATAAAAAAGAGTATCTTCTGCACAAGTTATATAATGCTATTATGTAAAACTTGATAAATATGTATTTCTATTTATAAATTGTTTCCATTTTATACCTACAACCTAAGTTATTGAAATGTACAAGAGCTAAACATGTATAAAGACTTTGCTCACTACTAAATTAATTTTCTAATAACTCAGTGCTGCTTCACAGAGCAGTCCAAAACACGATTGAAAATGTAAGGGCTTGGCTAACCAGGTGAAACCCCATCTCTGCTAAAAATACAAAACACTAGCCGGGCGCGGTGGCGGCGCCTGTGGTCCCAGCACTTTGGGAGGCCCAGGCGGGCGGATCACGAGGTCGGGAGATCGAGACCATCCTGGCTAACACGGTGAAACCCCGTCTCTACTAAAAATACAAAAAACTAGCCGGGCGGCGTGGTGGGCACCTGTAGTCCCAGCTACTCAGGAGGCTGAGGCAGGAGAATGGCGGGAACCCGGAGGCGGAGCTTGCAGGGAGCTGAGATCCGGCCACTGCACTCCAGCCTGGGCGACAGAGCGAGACTCCGTCTCAAAAAAAAAAAAAAGAAAATGTAATGGCTGACACAGTAATGCGGCTGGATATTCAGGAAGGCAAGTTGCAAGGTATTCATCAATGACAAGTCATTTTAGATGAAAGCGAAGTGAAGACCGGAGCTGAACTTCCTCGCCCTAGTGTTGTTAGGGTTCAGCAGCTGAGAAACACAAGCTGGGTGGACGGCTTAGTAATTCCCTCTCTTCTGTATTGTATTTATACTGATTTCCGTACAGGCCTTTTTGGATAATGCCAATATAGTGGAAAAGGATATTCTGTCCGGTAATGTACCTTCAGTTATGACCATTTCACTCCATCAATTGAGAGTACATATCTCAGATAGTTAGTGTAGCCCTTTATCTGAAATAAAGGTGCTATTTCCCAAGTGATATTTAATGGCACCAGCCTGGACAACACAGTGAGATCCCATCTCTACAGAACTTTTATAAAAAATTAGCCAGGTGTGGTAGTGCAGACCTGTAGTCCCAGCTACCCAGGAGACTGAGGTGGGAGGATCACTTGAGCCTGGGAGGTAAAGGTCGCAGTCAGCCGTGACAGCACCCCTACACTCGCAGGCCTAGGCACGAGCAGGAGGACCTGGTCAGAAAAAAAAAAAAAGCAAAAAAAAAAAATAAAAGAAGAAGAAAGGAAAGAGAGAGAGAAGATAATCATAACATTTAATGAGATAGCGTACATTTATAAATGGGGGAGAAATAAAAAATGAAAGCAAAAAGTTCAACTCATTATACGTCTCATGCGTGAGTGGGTAAATACTCCATGCAGAACCGCTCGTGTCTTCCTCTGCGTACTGAATGCGGCATGATGTAGTTTAGGAATAGAGAGCTGGTCTGTGGTGTCCTCCAGAAACTGCCGGATCCTCAGCACATCTGGGAAGCTTGGATGTGACGCTCTACGGGTTGTTTTTTTTTAGGATTTCGCTGGGATGAGTTTCTACGTCTGTTTCTTTAGGTAGTCCGTCTCTTCAGCCTATGGCTTACTGGTGGTTTCCCTGTCCACTGGACACTGTCATCTCAGAATGCCAAACTTTTGGAGGAAGGTTTTGAGTTTCCAGTGACCTGTTCTACAGGAAGAGAATAAAGAAAAAATAAGTCAGCGACCATATTTAAACATTACTTTAACTCAAAAGTACAGGACGCCATGGTGCTGGGGCTCCTGGTGATTCTTGTGTCATATGAATATAACCTTAGATAAAAAAAAAAGGTAGGAGGTGGGTGTGATTGCTGTGATTGCTGCGTAAATAATCTTCCATTTTTGGACCAGCCAAGGCCAAACACCTTACGCTTTTTTTTTTTTTTTTCCTTTTTTTTTAAGATGGAGTTTTGCTCTTCTTGCCTAGGCTGGAGTGCAATGGCGTGATCTCGGCTCACTGCAACCTCTGTCTCCCGGGTTCAAGCGATTCTCCTGCCTCAGCCTCCTGAGTAGAGATGGGGCTTTCTCCATGTTGGTCAGGTTGGTCTTGAACTCCCAACCTCAGGTGATCCACCCAGCTCAGCCTCCCAAAGTGCTGGGATTACAGGTGTGAGCCACCACACCTGACCTACTGTTTAATAAAGCTATGTAGCTCATGCAATTTGGCTATGCTGATCAATTTGAATTTGAGCCAAAATTAACTTTTTTTCCCTAGGAGTATCTTTAGATGCTAACCAAAAGTGTCTCCTGATGAGTGAAAAACAGAATGTGGTATCCAGCCTCCAAGGTGGCCCAAATGATTCTCACTTTCTAGTATTAATGCTTCTGCGTAGTCTACGCCACACTGAGTAGGACTAACCTATGTAACCAGAAGGTTATTGTGGCAATGATGGAGTGGGACTTCCACGGCTAAGTGATAAAAGACATTGCAGCTTCTGCCTTCCTCTCTCAAATCTCTCAGTGTGAGGGATGACAGCTGCTTCGGCATGAGGACACTTCAGCAGCACTGTGGACACACCCATGAGGGTAAGGAACAAAGGCCTCTTGCCGGCAGCCTGCACCAACTTGCCAGCTCTGTCAGTGAACCACCTTGGCAGTGGATACTCCAGCCGCCATCAGGTCTTCAGATCATTGCCATCATTGCCACCCGTGGCCAACTTCAAGTGCAGGAGAGACCCCAAGCCAGCACCATCCAGCTAACCTGCTCCTAACCTTGGGACCTGCAGAAACTGTGGGAAAGAATAAATGTTTGTATTTTAAGTCACTAAGTTCTGGGGTGATCTGTCACACAGCAGTAGATCAGGTATACACAGACCTTTCACAGAAGGCATAATTTAAATACATGTATACAAAAAACATAGGAATTGTAAACATACTCTTCCATTCTCCCGTAGTTCCGTTACCCTCCGTGGAATATTTATAATCTCACAGAAGTGCAGCTACCTAAAATGGGAAGGAAACACTGAGATTAGTTTATGGGAGTCTTCAATGATGTTTCAGTTATTTCTTTTTTTTTTTTTTTTTTTTTTTTGAGACGGAGTCCTCTCTGCGCCCCAAGGCTGGATGCAGTGGGCCGATCCTCGCTCACGCAATCTCCGCCTCCCAGGTGTTCACCCATTCTCCTGCCTCAGTCTCCGGTAGCTGGGACAATACAAGGCGCGCCTACGCACCTTCGCCCGGCCTAGTTTTTTCTGTATTTTTTAGTAACGAGCGGGGTTCACGGTTATGCCCAGGATGGTCCTCGATCTCTGACCTCGTGATCCGCCCGCTCTCGGCCTCCACGAAGTGCTGGGGATTACAGCATTGAGCCAGCCGCGCCCGCGTTTCAGTTATCTTCGATATCCATTTATTCAGAAAAAATCAAAGTGATTACGGGAGCGTGTGACTGTCGCCTCTTTGTGCCAGAGTGGGAGCAGTCGTCAGAGCGAAAGCGAAACACCGACCTCCATTCGGACTGCAGGTCTAATGAACGACATCGACGAACTTTTACGCTCTACCCAAAACTCAGACCACACGCACTCTGTGGCCCTCCCCTCTTAAGGTAAATGCAATGTTCAAACCTGGTTTTAGAGTGTTTCATGGTATCACTCTCTACGATTTAGATTGGTAATGCTCTAATACTACTTGATTTTTCTATCATTCTAACATGTACTCTGACTTTAATTAGATCACTCAATCCATTCTTATCGCCAGATAAACGAGAAATTTGCTTCAACATGTGCTAGACGCGAGTAAATTGAGATGGACATTAGAAAAACTGGGGTATAACTTGCGAGGGCCGGGGCGCGGGTGTCGCACCGGCCTCGGAATCCCAGCACTGGCGTAGCGGGGCGGCGTGGATCACCAAGGTGCCAGGAGATCGAGAAACCAATCCCTGGCCACACATGGGTGAAAAACCCCGTCCTCTACTAAAAAATACAAAAAATTAGCCCACGGCTGGTGGCGGCCGCCTGTAGTCCCAGATTACCGGGGCAGGCCCTGAGGGCAGGGCGGCAATGCCTAAACCCGGGAGGTGGAGCTTGCAGTGAGCCAACGATGCGCCAACTGCGCACTCGCGCCTGGGGGATGCAGCCAGCGACGAACTCTGTCGTAAAAAAAAAAAAAAAAAAAAAAAAAAAAGGAAGAAAGAAAAACTGTATTAATCCTGGAAATCGGAAATCAGTTTGACACGGCTGTCAAGATGTTACCCCTCCAGAGTAAACCAAAATCCTTTCTGCTTAAATGAGCTTTACAGTGAGAACATCTGTGGAGAATTTTGCGTTGTACTGAATGGACAGTGAGTGGTGAGTTTCCAATGTAAATTCGTCCACAATAAAGTAACTCTGAGAGAGGTGGTGCAAATATGACTCTTGCAACAAAAATCGGATACGCAAAAATTCAAACATATAAAACAGAATCTTCATATAAATTTGAAAAAATACTTCAAACTAGCCAGATTTCCTGATGCAGGGGCAGTTTTAGGAGGAAGCAGCATCGTATTAAGCAGAATATCTTTCTTTTTTTTTAAGATGGAGTTTTGCTCTTCTTGCCTAGGCTGGAGTGCAATGGCGTGATCTCGGCTCACTGCAACCTCTGTCTCCCGGGTTCAAGTGATTTTCCTGCCTCAGCCTCCTGTGGCGTCGCTGGGATTACAGGCACGTGCCACCACGCCCGGCTAATTTTGTATTTTTAGTAGAGACGGGGGTTTCTCCATGTTGGTCAGTCTGGTCTTGAACTTCTGACCTCAGGTGATCCACCCGCCTCGGTCTCCTAAAGTGCTGGGATTACACGCGTGAGCCACTGCACCCGTCAATATTTTTCTTTTGATGATGTTGATTCTTTGTTTTCCACTTTCTTAGGCTTGAGGCATAACAGGTAACTGTGCTTCACAAGGGTAAGACAGGGCTACGCTTGTGTAGATTCCAGTGCCTTCCTGCTGTTCTGGCTTCTCATTCCTCATGCGAAAACCCAGTACTCATTCCTGCCACCTTCTTCATCTAGGTATCAGCATCCTCCTAATCCAAACCATTACCAAGGCCTGTGGATTTTGCCTTCTTTTTTTCTTTTTTGAGACGGAGTCTCACTTGGTCCCCCAGGCTAGAGTGCAGTGGCGCCATCTTGGCTGACTGCAGCCTCTGCCTCTGGATTCAAGTGATTCTCCTGCCTCAGCCTCCCGAGTAGCTGGGATTACAGGCACATGCCACCACACCTAGCTCATTTTTGTATTTTTATTAGAGACGGGGTTTCACCATGTTGGCCAAGCTGGTCTGGAACTCATGACCTCAGGTGATCCACCCACCTTGGCCTCCCAAAGTGTTGGGATTACAGGTGTGAGCCAAGGCGCCCAGGTGGATTTTACCTTCTATTTTTGTATCTCCCAAGTTGGACCTAGTTGTTGCTGTGTTTGTTTGTTTGATTTTTTCCTTGTTTTCTTTTTTGCTTGAACTACTCCAACAAGCACTAAATTGGAAGTGATCTTTTAATTAAAAATTTTTTTTTTCTTTCTGATATACTGACAGAAGGTTCAGGAAGTGATCTTTGAAAATGGAAAATCTGACCATGTCCCTCCCTAGAACCCTTCAATGGTTTCCCATTGCCTTAGGACAAAGAACAAAATTCTTGACTTGGTCCACAAGGTCTGTATGGTCTGGGCCCTCTGTTCCTCTCTAGACCCAACTACGATTGCCCTTTCCTTGCTCTCTGGGCTCCAGCCACAAGGGGCTTCTTTCAGTTCTCCTATGGACTCATGCTCCCTTGCAACTCAGGGTCTTTGCACCTGCTATTCCTTCCAGTGCAACCACTCTTCCCTCACCTCTTCACCTTGTAAAGTCCCACTGACCCATCACCAGCTTAAGACAGTGTCATTTTTCTAGGTGAAATCCCTAACATTTTATGTGCTCTGGGAGACGGACCCATATGGAGTATGTCCATGGGAGATTCCAGAAAGAGATTCAGTGTAGGGAAATGAAATCAGGCATTTATTCTCCCTGCTCCTTCTCTGCCAGAATATCACTGGTTGGTTCTGTTCCTCTATCAAAGGTCATGGCTCCTGTCAGGCAAAATTCTCTCCAAACGTCTCTCTCTGGTCTTAGGTAACTATTTCTTTCCTAGATCCCAGGAGACTCCAACATCCCTTGTAGTTTCACTCCTGCTTTACCTTTTTTTTTTTTTTTTTTTTTTTTGAGACAGTCTCACTCTGTCACCCAGGCTGGAGTGCAGTGGTGTGATCTCAGCTCACTGAAACCTCCACCTCCTGGGTTCAAGTGATTCTTGTACCTCAGCCTCCCAAGTAGCTGATTACAGGCACACACCACCATGCCTGGCTGATCTTTGTATTTTTAGTAGAGACAGGGTTTCACTATGTTAGCCAGGCTAGTCTCAAACTCCTGACCTTAAATGATCCACCCACCTCGGCCTCCTAAAGTGCTGGGATTACAGGCGTGAGCCACCGTGCCCGGCCCATACTTTGTTTTAAAAAGTATTCTGATCATGCTTTACTAATGGGTCATCACCTGCAGTTTGAAAAATGCCTTAAATGACCCTCGTCCAAGTGATCCTTTCCCTGACTCGTCAGGCCAGATCAGGCTTCTGGGCATTCATGCCACTATTTTCCCGCAGAGCTGGGTTCACCGTTGGTTATGTTTATGTCAGTTTCCCCACTAGACAACTGCTCCCCGAAAGCAGCAACATGACAACGATGCTCACAGCTATATCAGGCGCTAAGTCTCAGTGCTCAGTAAGTGCTTGTGGAATGAATAATACATGAGCAAATGAATGAAACTCACACTTCGTGTGTTACTCCTCCCAGGAGCACTTACATATAGAACTTTGACAAATTAATATCTAATGGTGAAATTTCTAGCACATTTCTTCCTGGGACAGAGAACACTGAGTGCGGTAGTAGGCTACAAGGTACAAGTTCCATTCTGATGTATTTAAGAGAGGATCTGATTTTAAAAGTGACTTATTTACATCTATTTCATACAACTTTGGAGTCATCCTTTACTCCTCTCTCTCATTCCTCATCCACCAGCAAATCCTGCCAGAATTTAAATATATTCAGAATTCCAGTACTCATCACCTCTGTTTACACAGCATCACCTCTCATCATATCACTACAGGAACCTATAATTATCTTCCTGCTGGTGACTTCGCCTCCCTTCGGTCTCAACACAGTGACTTTGTCAATATGGAAGTCAGATAGAGTCACCCTTCTGTTCAGAATCCTTAAATACTTCCTATCTCAAAGACGGGGAAGCCTCTCTTACATACTTCCCATCTCAAAAGGGGGAAAGCCTCTTTTACAGTGGCTTCTCTGCTTAATTTTCTCCACAGAAATTATCATCTTCTAACGTGTCATCTATTTTACTTGCTCACGGTCTTGCTCCCCTTCGTAGGATGTAAGCTTCACGAGGGCAGAGATTTGTTTGTTTACTGCTGTGTCATCCGACACAAACCTTGGTACAGGGTAGCCATTCATTAAACTATTTGTTAAATAAATGAATGAATCCATAGGGTAACCCAAATAAATATGCAATAATTCGGAAATGTGAATCTCTGGCGTCCATTAATCCACCTCTACAAGTATCTACGGAGGACCTATTAGACACGGACACAAGGCAGCTAAACGAGCTCTCCTAAAAGGGCGATAAAGCCTCCTGCAGGCAGTCCCTCTCATACCTCGGATCCAAAAAGAAGAATGGAGGTAAGAACTTAAGTCATTTCATTCTTTTTTTTTTCTTTTGTAGAGATGGGGGAGGTGGTCTCACTATGTTGCCCAGGCTGGTCTCGAACTCCTAGCCTCAAGCGATCCTCCCGCCTCGGTTTCCCAAAGAACTGGGTTTACAGGCGTGAGCCACCGTGCCCAGTCTCATTTCTTGAAGGAGATAGATAAGTAGAGGGCAGAAAAAAAGCATAGAAAAATAAAAAAGAGAAGGAAGAGGTCCTGCTGCCTTTGTGCTCCCGGCCTTTCTCTTTCATGCTAGGTTAGGATCCCAGAATCCTAACCTAGAATTTCCGTTCTGTCTATTGCTTGTGGATCGAGGGATATGCACCCGCCTGTTGGCAAATCAATCTTACAATCATTCTTCAGGCAGTGGGAACGTCCTCCACTCACGGTGCGCCTTTCCATCAACAGCGTCCGGTGACGCAGGAAGTAAACTAAGCTGTTTCTATGGCAACGCACAGCTTTGGCGGATTTAGCTGGCTACCATTTTGCCTTCCCCTGTTCCCAAGTAATACATTTTGCAGCCTACCAAGATGAAAGGACTTAGGAAAATAATTGTAAGAGTGCTCTTGAATGTGGCCTATTTCAGTGCGAAGGCGATTTCCGAGGATTGCTTTTCTGGCGTTTGGAGAAGATGCCTAAATTGAGGGCGGGGTCGAGAGATGTTTAATCCCACAAGGCCACGCGGCGGGGCCTCGTCTTTCTCTTCCCGCCATCTTGGCTCCTGTGGAGGTGAGTGAAGCGCCTGCTGCTGAAATTTGGGGGGAAATAACCGGAGTAGGTTTGTTCCTATACTGCGGCGAGTCGCCGGTGTGTATCGGAGTCTCTGCCAGCCATTGATTTCTATGGGTTTCAAGAAGAGGGAGAACAGGATGGAGCAGATACTGGGCCGATGGTGCTTGGTCCCCTGACGCCCGGAGAACGGCTGCCCGGGTTATGCGAGTTAAATTCCTGGCCTGAGCGGAGTGAAATGATGATTTTGTTCGTCTGCAGTTGTCCATGAGGCAGTGCTTCCTTTCGGCCAGGGTTTTTCCGTTTCCTCCCAGTCCAAACCTCCCTTTGCTTGTCTGACCAGTCTCTTCCCTCAGCTTTTCTCCGAGACCCAGCCGATGCATAAGTCTTAGGTGTGAGTCTCTGATGAAGTCTTCATTTCTTTTCCTGAGTGTTGCCTCCTGACAATGGCATGCATTTTCTCAGGCTTTTCTAAGAGTCATTTTTGTGGCTCTTGTCCCTTAGTTTTGTCTTCATTCTGAAGTTTGCTTAGATGCCAGCTGTTCTCTGAGGTTTGAATGTCTTGCCGGAGCCTGCGTTTCATGTGGATGTTCTGGCATAATTGTCCCCTTACTCCTACGAGAAACTCCGATCCAAAAGGAATTTGCCTTCGGGGCTTAAACCAGAGGGGACGAGGTGAGAAACTTGCGTGGCTTGGTTTCAAACTGAATCTTTTTGTTTGTTTTAAGGCCTGCTGGGAACGGGACTTCTAAAGGGAACTATGTCTGGAAGGTACGCGTTTTAAATATGGTTGCTCTTTGTGTGTGTGTGTGTGTTAGACGTGTATGTTTAAATGCGAGCTTAAAATTGGCAAGAAAAAACTTAGATGTTTGCTCTGAGTAACTTTTGGGTGGGGGTTATTACAAGTCAAATTGGTTTTCTGAAGCTTATGTTTCATGTTGTGTATCTTTTGTGTCTTAGGCTGTGGTCCAAGGCCATTTTTGCCGGCTATAAGCGGGGTCTCCGGAACCAAAGGGAGCACACAGCTCTTCTTAAAATTGAAGGTGTTTATGCCCGAGATGAAACAGAATTCTATTTGGGCAAGAGATGCGCTTATGTATACAAAGCAAAGAAGTAAGTTTATGACACTGGTAGGTTTTGAGTTTTTATTTTGGGATCTGCCTCATTTTCTTTTTTATATAACGGAGTCTTGCTCTGTTGCCCAGGCTGGAGTGCAGTGACTTGGTCTCCCTCACCGAAACCTCCGCCTCCCGGGTTCAAGCGATTCTCCTGCCTCAGCCTCCCGAGTAGCTGGGATTACAGTCGCCGGCCACCACGCCTGGCTACTTTTTGTATTATTAGTAGAGACAGTGTATTGCCATGTTGGCCAGGCTGGTCTCAAACTCCTGACTTCAGGTGATCACCCACCTTGGCCTCCCAAAGTGCTGAGATTACAGGCTTGAGCCACTGTGCCTGGCCTCATTATCCTATTGAGATAATAAAATATTTGGCTGAAGTACTTGGTATTGTTTTTTTTTTGTTTTCGTGACAAGAGTCTCGCTCTGTTGCCCAGGTTGGAGCTCAGTGGCGCGATCTCAGCTCACTGCATCCTCTGCCTCCTGGCTCAAGCGATTCTCCTGCCTCAGCCTCCTGAGTAGCTGGGCTTACAGGGGTGCACCACCATGCCCAGCTAATTTTTGTATTTTTACTAGAGAATGGGTTTCCCCATGTTGGCCACGCTGGATTGGTATTGCTATGGCTTCTATTTTGCGTCATTAAGGAACTTAATGGGGAGTCTTAGAAGGACGTTACTTCTGAGGGTGGTGTTGGATTTAGGTACCTTTTGCACTTGAAAACAATAAAGGAGCTAATTCCTTATATTGTGATCCTTTTAAGGCTTCTAATTTTTTTTCTCGGCTCCTTTTGCCAGAATTTAAGGATTTTTAGAACACTTGGCGCTTAATGCATTTTGTTAATGCCTTAAAAATACGGTTTTTTTTGTTTGTTTTGTTTTTTGAGACGGAGTCTCGCTGTGTCACCCAGGTGCAGTGGCACGATATCAGCTTATCGGCTCGCCACAACCTCCACCTCCCAGGTTCACGCGATTCTCCTGCCTCAGCCTCCCGAGTAGCTGGGATTACAGGCGCCTGCCACCACACCCGGCTAATTTTTGTATATTTAGTAGAAACAGGGTTTCACCATTTTGGCCAGACTGTTCTTGAACTCCTGACCTTGTGATCCAGCCACTTTGGCCTCCCAAAGTGCTGGGATTACAGGCGTGAGCCATCGTGACATTGCACTTTAGCCTGGACAACAAGGGCAAATCCTATTTTCTTCACCCACTCCAAGCCAATTAAAATCTCTGGGAAAGGGTTTTAATCATTGCCCCACCTTTTCTTCTACAGCCAAGAATAAATTTTAAGTCAGGTTCAGTGACTCACACCTGTAGTCCCAGCATTTGAGAGGCCCAGGTGGGAGGATTGCTTGATGCCAGTAGGTAGAGGCTGCAGTGAGCTATGATTCGGCCACTATACTGCAGCCTGGGTGACAAGATAACCCTGTGGTCTTTAAAGGAAATATATATAAAGTCGCATCCTTTGTACATTGCTGGAACCTCAGTGGTTTCTCTCATTCAGTAAAAGCCCGTCATTAAGGGCTCCATAATTCTCTTATCTCAGCAGGGATTAACCCCTTGGTGTCTTCAGTCTTTCCTCCGGTCAGAACACACCTTGCTTGGCCCCAGTGCCTGCGCTAGTCATCCCCTGATCACTTCCTGGCGCTTCTCCCCCTCCTTTCCAGTCTTTGTTCCATTGTCACCTCAGTGAGACCTTCCTTGGCTATTTAAAATGGCAGGTAATTCCTCCTTTCTGTACACACAAACATCCTCACACCTGTCCTTTTGCTGTTTTTTCAGTATTGCCTCTGTTATCATCTGACGTATGTATTTCCTTACACTTGGTTATCGGTTTTGAAAGGGATTTTTATTTTATAGCTGCTGTGTTTTACAGAAGGGCCTGGCATACAGTAGGTACTCGATAAGTATCTGTTGAATGAATGGTGTTCCAGGCATTTAAAGTTTCTCAGGTGATGAAGTGGGTAACCAGGGTTGAGCCACTCGTCTAGAGATCACCTTGAATTTGTATCCAACTATATTGGCCTGTATTCCTCTTCTTTCCCTTTTTAAAATCAGCAACACAGTGACTCCAGGCGGCAAACCAAATAAAACCAGAGTCATCTGGGGAAAGGTAACTCGGGCCCATGGAAACAGTGGCATGGTTCGTGCCAAATTCCGAAGCAATCTTCCTGCTAAGGCCATCGGACACAGAATCCGAGTGGTGAGTATGGTTTTTAGCAAAATGGACATCTGATGAATCAGACTGAGGTCAAGGTGTTGCACTTTGACTTCTGAGGACTTGTGTGATTGTGAAATTGACACCAGTAAATTATGCTGCAAAATTTGTGTATTGCAGAATGCTGGGGAGAAATAGTAATTGAAAGAATAGGTGTTTGGTGTTTTGTTTTTTGTTGTTGTCACCCAGGCTGGGGTGCAGTGGCATAATCACAGCTCACTGCAGCCTCGACCTCCTGGGCTCAAGCAATCCTCCCACAGCCCCCCAAGTAGGTGGGACCATAGGCATGTGCCACCACACCCAGCTAATTTTTGGGGTTTTTGTTTTGTTCTGTTGTTTTTGAGACAAGGTCTCACTTTGTCACGCAGGTTGGAGTGCAGTGGCATGATCTCAGCTTGCTCCTGACCTTTGCCTCCAAAGTTCAAGTGATTCTCGTGCCTCAGCCTCCTGAGTAGCTGGAATTACAGGTGTATGCCACCATGCCCAGATAATTTTTTGTATTTTTTGCAATGATAGGGTTTGTCCATGTTGCCCGGGCTGGTCTTGAACTCCTGAGCCCAAGTGATGTGCCCATCTTGGCCTCCCAGAGTGCTGGAATTACATGCTTGAGCCACCACAGCCAGCCTTGAATAGTTTTCTGGTGAAGATATTTATTGGGCACTGAAGTAATTGCTAGAAAGCGAAAATTCAGTAGTTACTCCTGGCATAATTGTTAATATTTTGCCATTTCCATCATGTCAGTCTTGTTAGAACAGGTGTTAGTAGCTTTGTTGTGTACATGAAGAAAACAGACCCTCATGTTCCTAGGTCTCAGGTCTTTGGTGCCAGCCTTGGAGTTTAAATTTTTCTCAATTTTCTCTTGTAATTTTTCTCAAATAGCTCCTACTTTTTCTTCAGGGTCCATTTTGGAATGTAGACTGTATAGTCTTGGGACCAAGAATATATGCATACCATGTATTCTTGGGGCCAGGGGGTACTGTTGAACCCTGCTAAGTGGTTCATTAGGGTTTATCAACAGAGGCGGCTTTTCCTCTGTCTTTAGAAGAAGCAAAATTAAATGTATCTTCAGTACATGTTTTTCTTTCTTTTTTTTTCTGAGACTGGGAGTCTCACTCTCGCCAGGCTGGAGTACAGTGGCGGGATCTTGCTTCACTGCAAGCTCCCAGGTTGAAGCGATTCTTCTGCCTCAGCCTCCCGACTAGCTGGGACTACAGGCACGCACCACCACGCCCAGCTAATTTTTGTATTTTTTAGTAGAGACAGGGTTTCACCATGTTGGCCAGGATGGTCTCTTGACCTTGGGATCCGCCCGCCTGGGCCTCCCAGAGTGATGGGATTACAGGCTTGAGCAACAGCACCCAACCAGTACATGTTTTTTTGTTTTTTTGGTTTTTTTTTGTTTGAGACAGAGTCTCGCTCTGTAGCCCAGGCTGGAGTGCAGTGGCCGGATCTCAGCTCACTGCAAGCTCCGCCTCCCGGGTTCACGCCATTCTCCGGCCTCAGCCTCCCGAGTAGCTGGGACTACAGGCGCCCGCCACCTCGCCCGGCTAGTTTTTTGTATTTCTTAGTAGAGACGGGGTTTCACAGTGTTAGCCAGGATGGTGTTGATCTCCTGACCTCGTGATCCACCCATCTCGGCCTCCCAAAGTGCTGGGATTACAGGCTTGAGCCACCGTGCCCGGCCCAACCAGTACATGTTTTTTAAGAGTGCTGGTTCTTAAGGTATGTTCACATAGAGACTGAAGGCTATAAAAACTTTCCTTTCTACTAGAACATATAATTGGTTGTCTTTCAGAGATATATCCATATTACGCTTCTTGATTTGTAGACTTATATGTAACATTCACCTAATGTTTTGTGTTTTTTTCCCCACAGATGCTGTACCCCTCAAGGATTTAAACTAACGAAAAATCAATAAATAAACGTGGATCTGTGCTCTTATATTTTTGTTAAGTGGATTAAAGAACTTACTACCTTAAATTGATTTGCTACATGCTTAAAATGATGGAGGTTTCCCGGCATTTTTGGAGTACAAGGAGATCAGAGACGTGATGAAAATTACGGGGCGAGTTCAGAGATTTAGAAGGGAGCGGGTTTTAATTCGAGTATCTTTGACAGAGTCTTGCTCTGTTGCCCATGCTGGAGTGTAGCGGTGCTCACTGCAGCCTCACATTCAGAGGCTCAAGAAATCCTCCCTTGGCCTTTGAAGTAGCTGGGACCGCAGGTTCATGCCACCATGTCTGGCTCATTTTTAAATTTTTTGTAGAGGGGGGTCTGACTCTTGCCCATGCTGGCTTCAAACTCCTGGGCTCAAGGGGTCCTCCCTCCTTGGCCTCCTGAAGTGCTGGGATTAGAGGTGTGAGCCACCACACCCTGCCAAATGCTTTGTAATACTATGCATTTGTTCAGTACAGATTGGGAAACTTAAAATATGGAGATTATATTGATGGGCTTTGGCAGTTCCTTTGGATAGACTGGGATGAGAAGCTCTTGGGAATTGTGACTAGACAAAGCATTCCAGTATATTAAAATAGAATTGAGCCATATTACTCCACTCATAAAAAGCAGTCCTATAGTAGGTATATGGAGGTTGGGAATAGTGCACAGAAAGGTGGCGGCTTTCTTTGGCTTCATGTTTTAATCTGGTATAGTGCAAGATTGCACTTTAAGGAAGTAAGCAGCTCTCCCAAATATTTTAGATTTCTTGGGAATATGCTAAAATAAAACAGCTAAGGCATATGGTTGTAGGTTTTTTTTTTTTTTTTTTTTTGAGATCTTGTTTTGTTGGTCGGGCTGGACTGCAGTGGCATGATTACAGCTTACTGCAACCTCCACCTCCTGGGCTCGGGCAAACCTGCCTCAGCCTCCTGAATAGCTGGGGCCACAGGCATGTGCATCCACACCCAGTTAACTTTAGTTATTTGTGGAGATGGGCCTCACTATGTTGCCCAGGTTGTAGATTTCTAATTGATGCAGTAACAGTCCTTCCCCCGCCGCCCCCCTAATGAGGGTTATTGATGTCTAAAGCACAGGTAGTTTTTTAAATTAACAGATCTTTAAATTGCACTGAAAAATGTCAACAAGAAACTGGGAGTTTGCCCCCTAATCCCTTTTGCAGTTTTGAAACATGTATGGGTTCTCTTGTCTATGCCGCAAAAGAATTAACATGCTGGAAATGTATTAGGGAAAGAGGGTGAAAGAAAGGACTGGGTGGGAAGAGCACATTGGCTGTTGTGTTATTTGGTCTTTCATCTGGAGGCAGGACTGAGAAGGAAAATGTAGTAAGGGAAAAGAGTAGGAATACTGTCCCAGCTTTTCCGCTTCCCCTTCCTCTAGTAACCATCCTGTTACAAATCTGCTAACCTACTAAGAGGGTAATGAGATATACTGACGCAAGAGAAAACAAGAAGTCCTCTCCCAGAGGTCCCTCTGTCATCGGCAGTCCGAAGAAAGGTTCGGTCAGTCCAATGGTGGAACGTAGGCCAAAGTTGCCATTGTTGGAGTCCCGTGTTTCATGGACAGGGGCTTTTATTAATGCTCTGCCAGGCTCATTTATTAGGATTGTGGTTTTAAGGCAAAGTGCATTGATGCTGTATTCACCAGAAGTAAGCCATACTTTTTCATGGTCAAAAGTTGGAAGTTGTATATTAGAATGCTGATGAAATTGAACTTGGGAATTACGCAGTCAGCGGGAGGAAGTGCTGATCTTGGACACCCACTCCAAAAGGCCAATATAAGCTAAAAGTACCTATTGTGTTCATTGTGCCAGTTAAATAGATGTGATCAGTACTCTTGGGGTATTTAGGGATAGAGGCATGTGGGTATCCTGACTACATAACATAAAACTATAAAGTGTAGAAGAAATACGGAGGCATCTCAGAGGAAATGGCAGGAAGATTTTAGGAATACAAGTAGCTGACTGGAAAGTCCAGAAAACTCAGAAATGCCACATAAGACGTCTCTTGTACTGAGGATCTTAAGATTGTTCTTGTGTGTAGTAACAATGTCACTGAAGAACTTGATTCACAGGAAATTTTAAAATTTACTCATTTGAGACAGGGTTTCTGTTGCCCAGCCTGCAGTGGTGTGATCATAGTTGACTGCACCCTTGAACTTCTGGGCTCAGGCAATCCTCTGCCCACAACCTCCAGAGAATCTGGGACTACATGTGCATGCCACCCACGTTCAGTTAATTAAATTTTTTTTTCGGGGTCCCAGGCTGGTCTCTTAATTCCTGGCCTCAAGTGATCCCCCTGCCTCCCTGCCTTGTTCTCCTAAAGTACTGGGATTACAGATGTAAGCCACCATGTCCAGCTCAGATTAATATTTTACATCCCAGTGGCAGCCCAGTATAAACAAGGGAAAATCAGGTGGGCTTTTCAGTCTCAAATGGCTAACATTCTAACATGTTTCTGGCTATGGAGGCTGGATGGGTAATGGTGCATTTACAAAGTTGGGGAACCAGGGGATGGTTTTGTGGGAGGAGCAAAAGTTGAATTTGAGGAAGCGGTGAGATGTTAATCGACATATCCATGAAGACCGATGGGTATTTCAGGTCTGGGTTAGGCATTTGGAGAAGTGAATGGTATTCTGAGTAGAATAGATGAGAGGAATGGAGGTGCTTACACAGTAAGTGGTAGGCATCTGAGCAAAGCGGGGAAAACAAAAGGTTGAGACTTTAGGGTAACTCGAGTAACTTACATGTGCAATGGCAAATGAGACTCGAGCAAATACATGCTCTTCCTTACCGAGATGATGCAGCATTTGTAAATAATAAATTTATATTTTTTTCTGCTCCCATACCGAAATTAAGTCAAAAGTACTTAAGTCACCGTTGCCAAAGTCCCGTGGTTTACAGGAAAGGGCTTGCGTGGCTGGTATTTTGTTCACTATGCCATTGAAACAGCTTTGGCTCATGGCTGTAATCCCAAACACTTTGGGAGGCGGAGGCGGGCGGATCACCTGAGGTCATGAAGTTGAGACCAGCCTGGCCAACGTGGTGAAACTACGTCTCTACTAAAAACACAAAAAGTCGGGAGTGGTGGCAGGCGCCTGTAATCCCGGCTACTCGGGAGGCGGAGGCAGGAGAATCGCTTGAACCCGGGAGGCAGAGGTTGCAGTGAGCCGAGATTGCGCCACTGCACTCCAGCCTGGGCGACGAGTGAAACTCAGTCTCAAAAATAAAAAAAAAGAAACAGCCTTTCCTCAGCGTAACACTATTGTAACAGCCAGGAGCTTAGGATGACTGGTTCCACTCTTTATTCACAACAGCAGTTTATTTGTGGTACTGTAGTGGAAAGGGCACGTTTCCTAAGTTACAAATGTGGTTTGGAATCCCACCTTCCACTAGTTGTGGGATGATACACACATTATTTAGTGACTATTCACTTGTAAAATGGTAATACTTAAGACACCACCCCATCCTCATATCTGAGTCCGTAATCTCCACCCAGTCTGTAACTTGAAGTTTTCCTTCTTTCCTACCCCTTCATTTCCCAGTATAGTAGTTTACCTATTCAATTCCCGTTGCATGACTTCCAGCTCAGTGTCTGAGTTCGTAGTTTTACTTCTTAGTGTCATGAGCCACTGGAATTTGTCCCAATTTCCCATTTTGTGTAGTTCCTCACGGCTCCCAGGATCTCCCTTATCTCAGGTGCAGTGGCAATTCTTGGTTGGAAACTAAAAGATGGAGTTGAGTAAAATAGTAAAGTGTGTATCATTGATTTTTTACAGGAAATGGCCTTAGTCAAGTAAAGCGCCTAAAGTTGGTGACTGAGAATAAGTAAACGAAAGTATTCCACTCACCTTTTCCTACAGAGGACTACACTGAAAGATTTTGCAGAGGGTTGAATGTCCGTCTAAACACCTGGCACCTAGTAGGTGCATATCACTTTGGTAAATGGAAGAACTGGAAAACTGCCTCAGACACCCACACACGGCCAACGCCCGCGCGCCCTTCCTCCTCCCACAGCCCCACTCACGTGGGCCTCCAAACGGCATTTATTGGCCGGCTTCGCGCAACGAGACGCGATGGACGTGATCGCCGCCCTCATCTTCTGCCGCGAACTTCCAGCGGGTGACGCTGTCCAATCGGAAAGCACCTTTCCGCCGGCGGGGGCCTCCGTCTGCCCCGAGCGGCGAGGGGCGGGGCCGGCGCGGGCGCAGAAGCGTCACGCGCTCCATGGTAACGACGCTCGGCCCGAAGATGGCGGCCGAGTGGGGAGGAGGAGCGGGTTACTCAGGCTCAGGCCCGGGCCGGAGCCGGTGGCGCTGGAGCGGGTCTATGTGGGTCCGAAGCGTTTTACTCCTGTTGGGCGGGCTCCGGGCCAGCGCCACATCTACTCCCGTCTCCTTGGGCAGTTCCCCTCCCTGCCGGCACCACGTCCCCTCTGACACTGAGGTAGGGCGACAGGGGCGGGAGCGGGCCCTGTCAGGGTAAAGTCGTCCAGAAGGAGCAGGCGTAGGAGGTAGTGACTGGGAGAAGGTGTCCTGGATGAGAAAGCGAAATCGGGGCAGAGCCTGAACTCTTACAGGCCTGGGACCCGCTCTCAGCTCCCTACACCCTGCAAGTTGGCTGTTAGGCGCTCAGAACAGTATCACTTCTGTGCGGAGGGTTGTGCTTAGCAGTAGCCCTGGAGGAGTGCTTTTCAAACTTGAGCGTGCATCAGTCACCCGACGCACACGGTCCAACACAGATTGCCGCCCCCAGTCCCCCACTTAGTGACTCAGTGGGTCTGGGATGAGTCCCCAGATTGACAGTTTACGTTCCCAGCTGGTTGGTGATGTATGCTTGTCCGGGGACCACTTTAGGAACCGCTGACCTGAAGTTTCGGGAAGATACTGAACGGAGAGCCAGACAGAGGCGTTGGGGGGATGTTGGGGGCTCACTGGAGACAAACTTCAGGTTTCTTTTCACGTTGTGTCGTCACTCTGTTTGCTTTACCCGATTCTTCTCTGGAAGTGCCTGCCGGCCTCCCGTCCCATTTTTCTCCCTGCTTAAATACTTTGCCTCATTTCAAGTTCCCCAACCTCAAGGCAGCCTGCCGAAACTCCCACAGCGGAATATTCTTTTCATTAAAAAGTACATCGTATCTGTACTCCCTCCTGGCATTTAACCAAGTACTGCTATGTGGTAATGGCTTATTTTTTTAGGCGTATCTTGCCTTTGCAGTTAAATTCTAAGGTTCCGTGGGATGAGGTTTGTGTTTCATACTTTGATTCCTTCACAGTATTTAGGTCAGAGGTGGGTCCACGATAATCCATATTCCTTGAGAAAAGGAGGGAGAGTACCTGGGGGCAGGGCTGCATGCTGATACACACACGTTCAGTTCAGTCCAGAAATCTAACGACACTCATTTTTATGGTAATTCCCCAAAATGTTACATGCATACTCTTCATAACCAAGTGAGCCAAAATATTAACTTCGGAGTTTATAGCTTTTTTGCAGCTTTTATCATGACACTGCATTTTGGCTCAATTCTTTAAAAACAGTTTCCCACAGAACCCTGCACTTCTTTTAATTTGGATTAAAATAAGAGAAAGAGTCCTGGTCCCTAATACGTTTCCCTGGTTCCTCATAGAGTATGTAAATACCCTGTCGTCCTCACCATTCTTGCTTTAACGTGGACACAAGAGTATAGGCAGGAACTACAGTGTTCACTGTGGTTATGCTAATGACTACACCTCTATTCAATGCTTCTGGGAATTACAGTAACTTTTTTGTTTTTGGTGGTGGTGGAGAGCTCCAAAACAGTTTACGTTTTAACTTGTTCACAACTAAAACTTGGAAGTTTTGTTTTTACCTTTTATTATGCCGGTACAAACAACATCAGAATAATGTAATGAACCCCCATGGACCCATCACCTAGCTTTAACACCTAGCTTGAAGGTTCTGCCGTTCTTGTTTCATATACTTTCAGCCATTCCCCAACCCCCTACTTGAGTTACTGTTCTTTTGAAAAGTTTTTTGGTAAAATTTACATATATTGAAATGCCTCAAATGTATCCATGCACATTCACATAAAGCATACAACCCATCACAACGTAGAACATTCCCACATCTCCAGAACGTTCCCTCCTGTCCTATGCCAGTCACCTGTCCACCTCAGGCAACTAGTTTTCTAATTTTTTTTTTAAATACTAGATTAGTTTGGCCAATTCTAGAGCTTCGTGTATATGAATGGAATTATATGGTATGTACTCCTCTGTATTTGGCATTTGCTCAGCATTATGTCTGTGAGATTTGTGTTGTATGTGATAGTAATTTATTCCTTTGAATTGCTGAGTATTCCACTGAATACCTATATCACAATTTGTTTTTCCGTTATCTTGTGCAAAGATGGGTATTTTGGTTGCTTCCAGATTTTAGCTATTATAAATAAAGCTGCTGTCAATATTCTTGTACGTAATTTTTGTGGATATATGTTTTCATTGTTCTTGGATAAATACCTAGGGGTGAAATTACTGAGTGAAAGGGTAGGTGAATGTTTAGAAAAAATACTAACCCTTTCTCCAAAATACTGTACCATTTTACACCCCCATCAACAAAATATTAGTTATGGTTGCTGCATATCCTCACCAACAGATGTCCTTTCTAAGATATCTTTAAATACCCCAGGTCATAAAAATATTCTCATGTGTTCTAGAAGCCTTCACTTTTAGGATTATGATTCATCTCAAATTAATTTTTATATATGATGTGAGATAGGGGATCAAGATCCTTTTTTTTTTTTTTTGCCCCATATGGGTATTCAGTTGCCATATGTACCTCAGTAATAAATATTTAAATCAGACAGTATTGTAAGCCTTCCTGCTTTGTTCTTCCTTTTCAAAATGATTTTGACTATTTTAAGGCTTTTATATTTCCATATAAATTTATGTATTTATTAGCAGGGGGAGGCTCAAAGACAGATCAATATAAATTTTAGAGTCAGCTTCTCAGTTTCTTCAAAAAATCCTGATGGATTTATGATTCAGACTGCATTTACTCTATATATCATTTGGAGATAATTGACATCGAACGGTATCAAGTCTTTCAATCCATGAACATAATATATGTTTCTCCATTTATTGAGGTGATGCATGATTTCTCTCAGCAATGTATAGGTCTTGCATTTTTTCTTCCATTTTCTTTTCTCTTTTTTTGTTTTTGTTTTTGTTTTGAGACAGAGTCTTGCTCTGTCACTCAGGCTGGAGTGCAGTGGCAGAATCATAGTTCACAGCAGGCTTGAACTCCTGGGCTCAAATGATCCTTCTGCCTTAATCTCCCAAGTAGCTGGGACTACAGGTATGTGCCACCACACCTGGCTAATTTTTTATTTTTTGTAGAGACAGAGTCCAGGCAGGTCTCGAACTCCTGGCCTCAGGCGATCCTCCTGCCTCGACCTCCCAAAGTGCCAGGCTTACAGGCATGAGCCGCCGTGCCCAACCGGATCTTGCATGTTTTTTGTTAAATGTTTTCCTGAGTCTTTTATTTTTTGATGCCGTTGTTAGTGGAATTATGGTTAAAGTTTTCCAATTGTTTGCTGCTAGTATGTAAAAATACACTGCTAGTATGTAAAAATAATTTTTGTATATTAACTTTGTCTTCTGAGACCTAGCTAAACTTGTTTATTCTAGTAGGGTTTCCTCCCTTACAATTTTTTATGTTAGCAATGTATTAACTATAAATAGGAACAATTTTTATTGTTGTAGTTTTGTATCATTTATGTATTTTTTCCCCCTTATTGCTCTGGTGAGGACATCCAGTTCCAGGCTGAGCAAAAGTGAGATAGCGCACCTCCTTGCTGTTTGTTCCTGATCTTAGGACCAGTCCTTGACCATTAAGTATGATGTTAACTTTACATTTTTTTATAGGTCCCTTTATCAGACTGAGAAAGCTCCCTTTGGTTTCTGGTTTCCTGAGGGTTTTTATCCTGAATGGGGACAAATTTTGTCACATGCTTTTTGTTTTTTTCTGGTAATTATTGAGATAATCATATAGCTTCTCCCTTTATGAACTGTTCTGTGGTAGATTACATTGCTTTTTCCAGTAGGAAATCAACATTACAGTTTTGGGATAAACTTGGTCATGTTGGCTTTGGCAATTTTCTTTAATGTTTGTTTCTATTTCATTGTTTTCTGTTCTTTGTTATTTCCTCTTTCTACTTATTGTGGATTTAGTTTGCTCATATTATTAGGTGGAAACTTAGATCACTGTTTTTTAACCTTTTTTTCCTTCTAATGTCAACATTCAAAGATATAAATTTCTAAGTACAACTTTATCCGCTCTTCACAAATTTTGACACTTGGCATTTTAATTATCATTTAGGTTAAAATTTTTGGTTTTTTTGGTTTTTTGTTTTTTTTTGAGACAAAGTCTTGCTCTGTTGCCCAGACTGGAGAACAGTGGTGCAATCTCAGCTCACTGCAACCTCCGCCTCCCGGGTTCAAGCGATTCTCCTGCCTCGGCCTCCCAAGTAGCTGGGATTACAGGTGCCTGCCACCACGCCTGGCTAATTTTTGTATTTTTAGTGGAGATGGGGTTTCACCATGTTGGCCAGGATAGTCTCGATCTCTTGACCTCATAATCCGCCTGCTTCAGCCTCCCAAAGGGATTACAGGCGTGAGCCACCACACCTGGCCTAAAAAAGTTTTTTAAGAGACAAGGTCTCGGTTGGGTGCAGTGGCTCACGCCTGTAATCCCAGCAGTTTGGGAGACCAAGGCAGGTGGATCACCTGAGGTCAGGAGTTTGAGACAAGCCTGGCCAACATGGCGAGACCTGTTTCTACTAAAAATACAAAAATTAGCCAGGCATGGTGGCGGGCACTTTTAATCCTAGCTACTCTGGAGACTGAGGCAGGAGAATTGCTTGAATTCAGGAGGTGGAGGTTGTAGTGAGCCAAAATTGTGCCACTGCACTCCAGCCTGGGCGACAAGAGCGAAACTCTATCTCAAAAAAAAAAGGAGACAACGTGTCCCTCTGTCACCCAGGCTGGAGTGCAGTGATATGATCATAGCTCACTGCTACCTCGAACTCCTGTATTCAGACAGTCTCCCTGCCTCAACCTTATGAGTAGCTAGAACTTCAGGCACATGCCACCACACCTGGCTAATTTTTTATTTTTAGTTTTGTAGAGACAGAGTCTTGCTACGTTGCCCAGGTTGGTCTTGAAATCCCAGTTTGAAGCAATCCTCCTGCTTCAGTCTCCCAAAGTGTGGAGATTACAAGCATGAGCCACTGCACCTGGCCGAGATTATTTTATTTATGGTTTAGAATATGATCTATCCTGTTTAATTTTTCACATGTACTTATAAAGAATATATATTCTATAGTTATTTTTATTTTATTTTATTGTTTTAGAGATGGGATCTCAGTATGTTGCCTGGGCTGGTCTCGAGCTCCTGGACTCAAACAGTCC